CTTTTTCCTTATTAATTAACTCAGAGTATGTATTAATACCTGGGGGAGCAAACAACTGTGCATATCTCTCTATAAGTGTTATAGAGAGCGAACAATTTATGAGTTTGCCCTGCATAAGCTTTATGCAGGGTAAAATGGATTTATTTGGGTTTAGACCCCATTGGGAGTTGGGCATCTGAGTGCTAAAGACAAGCACGCTTCTTTGAGCTGTTTTCAGGTAAACTTGCAGATTTGGGACAAGTGATTCAGACCCTGGGTCTGTGTTGGAGCAGACGGGAGTGTCTGGCTCAGCAAGACAGGGTGCTGGAGTCCTGAGCTGGCAGGGAAAACAGGAGCGGGGTAGTCTTGGTACATCAGGTGGCAGCTCCCAAGGGGGTTTCTGTGATCCAACCCTCACACTTGCATCTTGGCAGCGCTATTTATCCGGGGAAAGAGTCAAGCAGAACTCTGGTAATCAGCTCAGATCTCTACTAAGAAGGTTAATGGTTTCTTTTCCCCAGAGTTGTTTTAATCGACATTGTTGAGAATAGGCACAGACAAGCAGAATTCATTAAAACAAACCTGTAGCTGACAGTCACATGAAATCCAAAAGCTATGGTGGGGGAAGGGAGAAGGTGATGTGGTCTCTACCAGGGACAGCGCTAATGTCCAAGTCCTTACCAAGTGAACTGGCCAGGCCGGACGCCTGCATTTTGAACTGCTGAGTATCAAATTGTATTAACCATTAATCGTCTCTCTCCAAAAGGAAAAGCAAATGGCAAAGCCCTTCCCCATAGCTCTCTGGGCATCTGGGGCCTTCTCAGCTTGCTGTATCATTAGTCAGCCCATCTGAGGAATTTAATACTGCAAGCGCTACAGTTAGGATGAATGGTGGTGGTGGGATCATATCCTGTGACTGAGTGAACACAGTGTCAGGAGAAGGAGGTATTACAAAAATGTGTGGAACAACTGCTGCTTGGCATAAAAATGTGCCTTGCATAGCACAGCTTTTATTCAGCTTTTTTTCCAAAGGAAAATTGAAGGGTATAGGAAAGGTCAGATAGAGATGACTACTTTTTAATTTTAGCACCATTTAAATCAAATCCACTGGGGTTCCACAGCTTAGAAAATAAGATCTTCAAGATGTTTTCACTTCCCACTTCACTGGCTCATCTTCACCCAGACCACATCTGCCTTACTTTAAGGAAGGTATTAAAAATGTTCCTTCTTGGCTGGTTGGCATAGGGCAGCCAGGTTCAGGGTAAGCCACTTCCGTGCTCCAGAGAGTTTGATTTTCCTGAGTTTGGTTGCACTTGAGACCAAGTCCTCCTATTCAGTAACCAAATCAAACAAACAGCATTGTCGTACTGGCTTTAAAATTGTGTCATTCTCAGCATATAGGGTCACAGGACTGTGTATCTTATATGGTTCTCTCTGTTTCCTCTTGGACTTCCAGTAAGTGACCTTGACGGAAACCCATCACTGAAACCCTGATAGTTTTATCATGGCTACCTGTGCACTTTTTGTTTTGTGGTGATGTTTATATATTTTAATTTTGTTTTTGCAGTTGTGGATGATGAAATCTGTTGAGGTTACATATGCATCAGAAGGCAGGGTGGGTCAGCCCTGGAATCCAATGAGACTTTCCTGGGAGTGGGTGAATGTTAAAAAGCCTTAGCCAAGAAGGGAATGCAGCTTGGTGAGCAGCTAATCTGTGCAGGCAGAACAGACAGGAGACCCTCGAAGCAGGACCAGCATCACGGTTTTTCTGAGGATCTACAAGAATTGCCTGGGCAGCGTATCAGCAGTGCAGCCAGTAAACAATTTATATGAACATTCCATGTGACCCCCACACATTGCAGAAGCCTAAAATCCATTATGTCTATACAAGGACTGCTGTCAGCAGCAACAGAGGGTCCCTGGTGCAATTTCTTTGACAAACAGGTGGGGTGAATGTTTGGGGAAAGAGGTCTGAGGAAGAGAGAGGTAGTGAATATTTGGTCAGAATGTGTATGTGGCTTATTGCATAGCCTAGCCATTCAGAGCTGCTGTTCGTTTCATTTTCTTCTGATGCATGCCACAAATTCCAGATGTAGATTTGAACACACCAGCATAATTCTGGTTTCCATTAGTGCTGATGGGAAGTAAGGCGTTCAGGATTGAATTTAGGATTTGAGCATCAGGATAGAAAAGCCCTGTCTACAGAAAAGTTGTACAGTGAAGTTTTTATTTTGGATCCATTCGTGAATAGTAAATTTTGTGCATGCAAAAATGTGAGGAAGTATAGTTTTGGGGTCTGAGCTGAGGACAGAGGAATCTATTTCCTGCTTTGCTGTGGACTCTGTGAAGTCATTTTAACGTCCGTGTCTCACTTTCCTCATCTGGATTTAAAGAAACACTGTACCATCCAATTTGGCCTAAAATTTAGATTAATTAAAAACAATATTTTCCCAAACCCAGTGCCAGTAGAAATGTAAAATGGGCATATAATCTGCCCCACAGGAATATTGTGAAGTTCAATTCCTATATATGAAGTGCTTCGAGACTGTAAAATGAAAACCAGCAGTATAAGACCAAAAGCACAGTTTTTTAATGCAAAGGACTATCAGCACACTGTATGCCAGAGGGATCTTGAACTATGGTCTAATTACATTCTTTGTTGCACCCATCAATGTGGTGTCTGAACAGTTAGTATCAGAGGAGAAGTTGCTTTCATACAGATACTGTCTGCTTAAAACATTGGTTGTAGTAGCTTGGAATAGTTGCTAAAGGAGTCCGAGTCCCACTAGGCCGCTCCACTAACAGCTGGCTGTTTCTTGCTATGCTGCATTGCATCATTTATGTTGGTTCATTATTCTCTGCGTGCGCTAAAAGTGCTTTCACCTCTTCTGTTCTGAAGGTTTTTTTACACTTCACTGAAGAGTGTTGTCTTGACTTTTGTAGGGGGTTAGAAAATGTCCCCTTTTGAGCCAACTCTGCCTTCTATAGATAGACTTCTTGCATGAGCCTTACCAATGGCGAAGGCAGCTAAAGAAAAGGAAGAAGGGACTGTAGATCTCCACAGTTCATTGTGCAAAACTCCCCAGCTCAAAATGTCTATATGCGTCCATTAGTCATTGTGTTATCCCCTGAACGGTTAATTTTGTGGCTTCTATTCAAATGATTTAATAGAAAGACTAGCAGTTGGGCATGCACGTATGCCTCTCTTCCAATAGCTCAAAGGATATTTTCCTCAGAAGAAATGCCATTTTAGACAAGGATTATGGCCCCATATCAGTGGAGGAGGGTGTCTCTACAGCACAATTATTTTCTAGGCACCAAATTTTGCATAGATGTTACATTTCCCAGAAACTTTACGGAGGACAAGACTCCTGTAATTCTTGTTTAGCCTGAAAGATAATAGACACAAAGGGCTGCAACAGCATAACGTATTTGTGACTCATGCTGCGGTACAGAGACAGACAGAACATGGGGCCATCACTGCAGATTACACATTTCAGTTTTGCCCTCTGGGTTATGCTGTGTCTGGTTGAGCTTTTACCTTTTTTGCATTGTTTCAGATAAGTCCCTGGAGCACTGGAAGCTTCTGCCCATTGTGACTAACCTTAAGGGTTACTATATGTATTTAACCATTTGGCTGACCTGTTTGTGTGTTTCATGAGATTTGGGGGGGAGGAGGGGATGCTGGGAGAAAACTTTTCTTGCACCATAAGGCTTCCTCGTCTTATGCAACTGCTGTCTGGTTTCCCTTCTCCTTATTCCCAATCTCTTCCCTCTCACCTTCTCTAATTCATTCAGAGACACATTCTGTCATCTCCAGTCCCCAGCCCTCCCCCTGCTTGGGTGCACTGAACCAAACACAAATCCAGAAAGCCAGAGCCTGCACAGTGGGATGAGCAGGGTTTAAACTAGAGACTACGCTAGGCCTCACTTTCCCCATCTGATTCCCGTCCGCTTCCCTGCTGCAGATGCATCTCCCTTGTCTGATAGGCACACTACTGCTCCTCCTCTTGCTAGGCTGGTGATGATGTTCTTTGAATTGGCTCCATGACAAGGCTCCGTCCTTCAGTTGAAAAGAGGAACTCTGCCACCTTCAGCATGCTGCTTCCAGCGCAGACCAATATGCTGGTGGAGTGAAACGTTCCCCTTCTCTACTTTGGGGATTATCGGCATCCTTTCCCCATGTTACCAGCTTCCATGAGCCCAAGGGATAGAGAGTTGGGTTGGAATTTGAACACTGGGAATGCAGTGTGTTACTCTGGAGTCCCTTATCCAGCATTTTTAAGGGATTTTTAGTTTCAAAATGCATCAAGCTTGCTAAATGTGTAAGAGACCTAGAGAAAGGCATGTGCAGCATACTGTTAGGGTGTTCCACAGGAGGCTCACGTTCAGTGGCAATGGTCTTACATCTGTGTAGCATCTTTCATCCAGAGTGTGGTGTTGCTCTGCAGCCATCACTGGATTGGAACAGCCCAGCTGTTTAATGCCACACAGCAGCACTACACAATCTTGTAGCACAAGAGTGAAGAGGAATATGGTGTTCTACTGAAACTTCAGAGGGAATTTAGGAAGGTAGAAATTTGGTCAGGACATTGGGGCTAACAATCCCACTTTTCAGAAAAGTGAATGGGATCTTAAATGACCACAAGTGGCCAGGGCCTCCTTTGAAAGAGAGCACTTCCAACAGCAGCAGGGTGACCCACAACACTATTTGAGGCCACTGGATCCATATTGACTCAGAGGAAAGATTATTGCCTGCTCAGTCATCTACACCAGAGGTTTTCCCATCCGAGTGTTGGTCATTCTCAACTCTGCTTAGCTTGTGAGATGCTTGAGATGGTAAGCAACAGTAAAACAAAACCAAAATATAATGTCAGGAAAGCAAAATATGATGTGTGTGCATGTTAAAGCAATTTTATCAATACCCTGTTTGTGTTGTGTGATGAACCCTCTCTCTCTCGTGGTTGCTTTTCAGCTGTATGTCTCCTCCGAGAGCCGCTTCAACACTTTGGCAGAGTTGGTCCATCACCATTCGACTGTAGCAGATGGGCTCATCACCACTCTACACTACCCAGCACCCAAGCGCAACAAGCCCACTATCTATGGAGTGTCTCCAAACTATGACAAGTGGGAGATTGAGAGAACCGACATCACCATGAAGCACAAACTTGGAGGGGGCCAGTATGGAGAGGTGTACGAAGGAGTCTGGAAGAAATATAACCTTACAGTGGCTGTGAAGACCTTAAAGGTAGGAACTAAAGCTTCTATTCATAGCCTTCCAGTTGGAATGCAAGTTTTATGCAACCCCTTCTTAAGCCTGGTATTGGGTAGTGGTCTCTGTCTGTCTTCCTCCGTCAGGGTCAGATGATGCAAATTGTTGAAAATCCTTCCTTTGATGACATCTGGTCTAGAACATCTGTGGCTGTTAGTTAACTGTATTTGTCAGCCTCTTCTAATTATTTTATGTTTATGAGAGAGTTGGACCATTTGTACTGTTAGAGCCCTACACAACTGTGGATATCTACTTTATATCCACAGACCAAATTTTGTATCAGCACAGGGCTCTGTATTGTTTTCCAAGGCTCCATCTACACAACAGTTACAACCAAGTCAGGGAAGCGGCTTACAATGTTGTTCCGACTTGTAATATAGGCCGGACCTTATTGTGTCCAATAACCAGGCTAAAGCCTTGGACATGTGTGTTTCTCACATTTTGGGGAAGGAGAGCTGCAAAGGTGAGCTGTCACATAACTGACACAAATCAGTAAAGATTACTGTGGGATGTGAAACAGGCAATGTAATTAGAGATCATGCTTCACTGGTACTTCAGATACATAATTGTTCTAGTCACATCATGTGCCTTCCCCAAAAGACGAGCTCCTTGTCCACCTAGAAAATAGGCATTTCAGTAGCTGTTCACTGTTAAAAGATTTAGGATGAGGGGAAGGAACTTTCTGGATTAATTATCCACAACCAAAATAGATTAGACGCTTATGCCTGGTCTACACTGGGGGGGATCGATCTAAGTTACGCAACTTCAGCTACGTGAATAACGTAGCTGAAGTCGATGTACTTAGATCGACTTACCGTGGTGTCTTCACTACTGTGAGTCAACTGCTGCCGCTCCCCCGTCAACTCTGCCTGCGCCACTCGCCGAGCTGGAGTACAGGAGTCGACGGGAGAGCGCTCGGGATCGAGTCTAGACATAATAAATCGATCCCTGCTGGATCGATCGCTGCCCGCTGATCCAGCCGGTAGTGAAGACCTACCCTTTGTGGCTTGGACTGAAAGTCAGAGAATCAGGTTCTGTTCGTGCCTCTGCTACTTAGTCTCTCTATGCCTTGGTTTCCCATCTGTGAAATGGGGATAATACTTACCTAGCTCACAGAGGCATTGAGTTTTGATTTTTATAAACCAAAAAAAAGCACATTGAGATCCCATAGTGCCTTCCATCCACATAGCGTAAACTCTTACTATTAGGAATTCAAATGCGAGCTTCAGACTATGCCATCATTGCTGGAGTTGCAGTGTGGTGTGGTGGGGCGGAAACAATAACAAATGAAAGCTTTCATGTTGGAAATCATTAAATGGAGAGGAATGTATATATGCTTTATGTCTGTGAATAAAAATGTGTCCTGGACCTGGGGAAAGTGATTTTTTTTTTTAACCCCTTGAATTCTGGCTACCAGAGTGTTCCTGGGTTATGGTTTCAGAAGGTGATTATTTGGGCAATTAGTTGTTTTTGAAGGTTCCTGTTATAAGTTACTGTTCCCCACTTGGTTTCATCCAAAGAAAAATAACACTTCAAGTCCCCTTTCCTCTTTATATATGGAGAGAGTGACACCTAGTGTTAAAGTGTGATTCTGTCTCATTTGCACAGGAGAATGCTGGGAAGAACTCTGCCTTGAACCCCATAGTGTTGCTAGAAAAGGGATTTGACAAGCAGAATGAAATATCTATTTAGAGGAATAATGAGAGACCAGTTGTTTTCCTGAAACACTGAGTTTATTGTAGCCATCTCCAGTCTTGCTGATTTTGTGGTATTTGAGGGTTAAGGGGTGTTTCAAAGATGTTTTTTTCTCCCTTACCTCAAATAATTTTGCATTCCTTTCTTGTTTGCTTTGATGAAAACCTCTAGCAGCAAAGGCACAGTGTGTTATCCCGCAAAATCTCCGTGTATGTGCGTCAGAAAAAGCTACCTTGATAAGGACCGTGACTGTTTCAAATATGCCAAGTAAATATTTTATGACTGAAAATGGTTCATAATGTAATTCAGAGCAGCATCCTCCCCTGGGAAATGTTCGAACACCCTAAAAGAGACTGAAGAAGTGCTGTAATCTGAAATTATGCACACTAAACCATACTTAAAAGCAAATTCATAATCCACCTTCCTTAAATCCATCAGTCTACTGTCTGACAGATGGGATTATGACTATCTTCAAAGTTTCAGGGAATATTTGAATACCTCACATTTATATTCCAACTCCAGCAGGAATACCCAAGTGTTCAGTTGCTTCTTTAGGGGAAACCCAAAGCACTCATTTTATTGTCCGTTAAGAGAATATTTTCCGAAGCTCTCTTGCCTTTCCTTGTCTCCCTCCATGCCCTGGATCTGTATATTAGAAATAATAATGAAAAGAAAAACTAGGGGAAAAACATCCTTGGTTCTTCTGATATCCTTAGTGCTTGATGAATTATTTCCCTTGCATCTCACTGCAGCCCGTTTGTTACCCAGTCTTCTTTAAACTGGTTAGAAGTAGTTCAGAGCCTGCTGAACCAAAGTAGTTTATACAGAGAGAAAACAAGGGCCTAAAGTGACATGTTCTGTGCTTCTATCGCATTTAATTCATGGTGCTAGAGAATCTGTTAGTGCTTGTGCATTTCCCACTAGCCTATTCCACTGTACTTGGGTATAGTAATGTCCCACACAGATCTGAGATAACAGAAACACAATGTTATTGGTGGAGGATAGCTCAGGGAATGGATTGGCAATTGGAGACGAAGCTTTCTAACCTCTAGGCCATTAGTTTGAATCCAACCTGCTGCTGATCGTGACCAAAAATTATTGCTGTGTGAGGGCACTTTCACGTCCCGTTGTAAAATGGACTGATCATCTCAGTCCTTTTCATAGTGCAGAGATATCTAGTTTACATCTGTCATGACTGACGTGATGAAATCTTTGTTGTTTTTCTTAGCAGAGAGGCTGGTGATTTGAACTGGTCATGCAGCCTTAGCTACCCTGATGCCCCTGGAGGTAGTCTCTCCAGGTCAAGGTTGAGATATTACTGTGTTGTGCTAAGGAAGCACGTCATGCTGCTGACGCTGCTGTACCTGATCTGTGATGTGATCTAATTGGAAATTGAAATTGGATAAATCTGGTACTTTTCATGAGCACTAGATTATCAAACCATTATTACAGTCATTCTTTGTTTCCTTTCTGTTACCTCTTTCTTTGAAGAGATTTAACACAAAGGAACAGTTGCAATCTTCTGTACAGAGTGATCCTGGTGGAGTTCACATATCAAACATTCGATGAACAAGTATTTAGGATCATTTGGAAACTCTGATTATTAACACAATTTCCTTTGCCAAAGGAAATGGTTTAAATTTCTGTTCCCAAGAACCTCACAGCTGTGTAGTATTGACTGTGTCAGGAAACTACAGCTGCCAATCAAACAGTACCAATTCGTAAAGGAACAGTAAATGATGGAGTGAAACTGTTTGAATAGATTTCATATGCATCCGAAGAAGTGGGCTATAGTCCACGAAAGCTTATGCTCTAATAAATTTGTTAGTCTCTAAGGTGCCACAAGTCCTCCTGTTCTTCTGTTTGAATAGAACGATCAGTGCTAACAATGAAATAGGTCTACAATAGCAGCCAGACCTGTGTTATCAGCCTTACCAGCAGCAGCAAATCCCTTGCAATCCCTCCTTAAAACACTTCTTCTATGAAGCCTATCAGCATTAATCCACCAGTGAAAGAAACATTGATATAGGAAGAATAGTTGTATTTAAAAATATATTTTTGAACCACTTTGAAATGACCTTTTGGCCTTCCAGTGCACATTTGTTTTGAAATATTTATCCCGTCAAATAAAGACAGTATCTTCCTTTGTTTTGTATAATTGCGAGCAACTTAATGACACTCAACAAATACGCAGCAACATCTAGCCAGAACATTTACATCACAGATTAGACTCTAAAAGCCAGGAACAAATTCATAAGCCATAAAACCTGCACTCTTCAGTTGTGAAGCAACCACCATCAGTTGTCACAGACCCAATCAACAGAGACGACTCTTTGAGTCGTTGAAATGGTGGTCCATAATGGATGCAGATAGCCTCAGGCATCTGCATGTGTAGCATTTTGCCTTTTGTTCTCATCTGTCATCTTGCCTCATTCACCTCTTGTCACCCTAATACTATTTCTCGTGGCATGAGCAAGTGCCCTCAGTCTTTTTCTAAAGATGTGAACTCTAAATGGGCTTCTCTAAGCAGATAATCTCCCTGCAGGAGAGGGCCTACCACAAAAGGGGAAATCGGTTTTTTGTGCCAAAAGAGGTGGTATAAGAATGACAGTAGACCAGTTAAACAGAGGATCGAGCCCCACCCAGCAGCGTGATGCAGCTGCAGTAAGGAGCAGTAGTTTTGGGACAGTCGCAGCTTTACCCCTTCAGTTTGCAGTGATTCTTCAGTCCACATGCTAAAATCTGTTTCCACCTTGTGCATATTATCCTTGCTGAAGCTTTTCTTTTTCCATTCAGGAGGACACCATGGAAGTAGAAGAGTTCTTAAAAGAAGCCGCAGTCATGAAAGAGATCAAGCATCCTAACTTGGTGCAGTTATTAGGTAAGTGATAGAAATGCCAAGCAAAGGGATTTGAATTAAACCCTTGTGCAGTGATATGGCTGTTAAGGAGCAGATAAGCTGCTTACTGTACCAAGGCTGCAAATACAGATACTTATTCTCTCGCAAAATTCACAATTTGTAAAAGTAGTACACCTCTACCTCGATATAACGCTGTCCTCGGGAGTGAAAATCTTACCGCGTTATAGGTGAAACCGCGTTATATCGAACTTGCTGTGATCCTCCAGAGTGCGCAGCCCCACCCCCTCGGAGCACTGCTTTACCGCGTTATATCCGAATTCGTGTTATATCGGGTCGCGTTATATAGGGGTAGCGGTGTATTTGATTTCAATTATTTTTTCTTCCTTGCATTTAAGATACAAGAGCCTAAAGCAGGAAATCTAAAACAAACTGCTAACCAGTTTGTAGGAAACTCTCTCCTCCTTCACCCCTCACCCGCCCTCCCATATACACACACTTATAAATTGCCCAAAGAGCAGAATCTGCAGACATCAACATTCCAGAAGAAACGCAATGTGTTCAAAACTGTGTTCCGCAGGGGTATGTACACGGGAACCTCCGTTCTACATCATCACAGAGTTCATGACTTATGGGAATCTGTTGGATTATCTGCGCGAGTGTAACCGGCAGGAGGTGAATGCGGTGGTGCTACTGTACATGGCGACTCAGATCTCCTCAGCCATGGAGTACCTGGAGAAGAAAAACTTCATTCACAGGTAAGAATGACACTGAGAGCTCGCCCACTTCTCAAGCTCCAGAAAGCCCTTGAATTTCAGAGTGTAGCAATATGGGATCTAGGTGCATTACATCTTATAACTTACACTAACACCTTGATGTGTTGCATTCTGATATGGGACACTGCACTGTAGAAAACCCTCTACAAGAGGCAGTCTCAAGTCTGCCATGGTGGTCGTTCTTACCCACACATGCTGTGAAGGTATTGCCGTGTAAGGTGAGGTAGTTAAATTGGCCCATCTGTCATTTAAAGGTACAGAGATTCCTAAAAATCATGACTCTTTGTGAAATAGATCATCTCTCATTCCTGTTAAGCTAATGGTCAGCAGAATAACCTCTTCCCCAGAGCTGTGGGCATTGTTATACTCAGACTGGGGTTCCCAGCAAAGCCACCTTGCTGCCTTTTCATAGTGCTTTGATTTGTCCCTCTCCTTGTTTGCATCTGCTTTGGCGATTCTTTTCCTTTATTGCATGAATTGCGTGTATCTCTGTATTAAGCATCTTTGTAGTCTTAAAGTCTGGCGATTTTGACCTTTAAGTGTGCTGCAATTATGATCAGTGCTTTGCATTCTTTGTCTGAAGAAATGACCTCCTAGCAATGTAATGAGACAGCCTGGATGGAGGCTTGAGAGTCTTTGCTGTTTTATTTAATACAAGATCTTCTCCATGGCACAGTTGTGACCTTTCCCGCCTAATTAGCTAGAATATGAAATCTGTACATATGACTTCATAGAGACGAATATAAGGATCATGTATGAAATGCTAAAGGTTCCTTGTAAGACACACGTTTCCTATGTTGCATGAGAGCTGGGTTCACGTGCTCCTGTCCATCAAAGTTAACACCTATTTGCAGCATCAAATCAAAGTTTTGAGCTTTTTGCGCTGTTGTAAGATTGTAGTCCCCTCAACATGTAGCAAGTGAACTTTACAAAATGTTTTGCAGAATCCCGTTTACATGCTCTTGCACTTCGTTTCCCATTATTGCTGATGACCCAGATCTATTTTCTGAATATGAGTTTTCTTCCTTATAATCTGCCACTCCCGCATCCTCCTGCCCAGTTATTTCAGAGGTGTTGTCACAGTCCACATCCATGGATTCAGATGCTGGGCTGTGACCTCATTGAATGAATCAGGCAGGAGTAGGAATGGGGTTATAAAGAGGAGTTTTTATTTAGACAAACATGGTAGAAATCAGCACTGATATGGGGATATTCAGACCACTGCCTGACAGCTTAATGGGCCTTTGGTAAAATGTACTATTTTTTTTTAAGTTCTGAGTTCTGCAAGCGACTTTTTAAAGAGTAAGTATCAGAGAGAGGCAGATCTTGCATGGATCTGAAGTAGACTCTTACTTTAGCTTTGTAGTGAAATCAATTTCTAACATAATGTGACAAAATCTGGTAGGTTTTTACAAAATCTATTACTAGCAGAAATGCTTTCATGTACTTTGACCATTTTAAACACACAATGCACTTTGACCATATTAACATTATACATGACCTAGTGAGCTGCAGTCGGTACATCCCTTACTCACTGGTATATAAATAGAAGGAAGATTTCAGTCAATTGTTGCCCACTGTTCTGCAAATCAGAATCCTGCGTATGAGGCATGGGGAATTGTTCCATAATCAGATTTCCCTAGATTATGATTGTCCATGTTGACCACCTTTGACCGTCCAGGTCATCAGGATACACTTTTTGTAGTCCGTGTTAAAGCTCCTGCCTGCCCCCTAGGTGGTGGTAGAATTGATGTACCTAGTGAGCATATTTCCAGAATAAAGGAGAGTGTTGTGTCTTGAGGAGTGCACTAGCTGTTTCACCAACTTCATTCCAGGAAATACTATTACACCATGACACACAACTAACCTGTGGAACTCATTGCCACAAGATATTGAGGCCAAAAGCTTAACAGAATTAAAAGAAGACTTCAGGGGTAACAAAAGCATACAGGTTTATTATAGTAAAGTTTTTAAGCGATTTGAAAGGTTGAAAGCTTGAACCAGTTGCTAACTTTTAAGAGGAAATTTTCCCTGTGGGCCAGTTATTCCTTAACTATTTATGCAGAGATTCTTGCACCTTTCTCTGAAGCAGCTAGTGCTGGCCACTGTCGGAGACCAGTCCTGGACTGGATGGACCCACTGGTCTGATCCACTGTGGCAGTTCTTTGGTGTGCTCATTCACATCAGAAAGAGAGACACTGTATTTCCAGTTGCTTGCATTTTGTACAGATATTTTCCTGCTTTTTACAAATTATATTGTATACTTATGGTAAAATAAAACTTCTTTAGTACAGTATGAGAAAGCACTGCGTTGTGTTGTATATTATGTGAGTTGGTATGTTTGGGGAAAAAAATAGTTTGTGCGGTTGAGATTTAAACATGGTAAGCCTGGGAACTGTAGTGAAATTGATTAGAGATAGCCCTGAAACTGATTAGTACATTTTCATTGTCTAAGCTGAGTGATATGTAAATAATAAACCGCAAAACTGGTGAGGATCTTAAACGTCCTTTGTTTCAGTAATCTCAGATCATTGTAAAATGAGCACTGACACTTGTCTTTATTTTTAAATGATTTTTATCCTGACAGTGGCAGCTTTTAATTTTTCTAAAAAGTTTGTATTCTAATTAAAAAAAAAAGTTTTAATGACAGCTTTATAAAGTGGAGAAAACAAATAATCTCCCGCTTTCTACATCTCTAATACAGAAAAACACATACAAAGACTTGGGTTTCTTCAATAATAAGCCATGTCCTCTCCGCTGCTAAAGGTGTGATATTGTGAAGACCTTTCATGGCCTATTTTTTCTTGTCTGCTTTCTTAGGGATCTTGCAGCCAGAAACTGCCTTGTAGGGGAGAACCACCTGGTGAAGGTGGCAGATTTTGGTCTGAGCAGGCTGATGACAGGTGATACATACACTGCCCATGCTGGAGCCAAGTTCCCAATCAAGTGGACTGCACCAGAAAGTCTGGCTTACAACAAATTCTCCATTAAGTCTGATGTCTGGGGTAAGAACTTACATACGTGCACACGAGACGACAGCCTTTTTATTTCCTGGCTATAAAACCAAGACATTAAAAACTGTTTCTTCAAGTAGATCCCAAAGAGAGAGAGGATGATTGGTGGCTGAACCACTTTGGTCTGTGGCCTGGTCACAGCTAATCAGGTGGTTCAGTGTTTGAATGGAAGACCTAAAAGGAAAACCCAGGAGCTGCACACTTTTAGTCGGTCAGGACTTCTCCTTCTGAGGTTGCAATCCTGCAGATAGTTAAATACATGCTTAACTTCACGCACGAGAGCGTAGTCCTCACATGTGAAAATTAAGCAGATGCGTGTTTGCAGGATAGGTGCCCGAGCTAGCTCTGAATCAATGCTAAAGCACAGTACTTTGGGGCATGATGCTGTTGAAGGTTACTGGCTCTGTAAGCTACTTTTAGGATGAGGATGAGAGTCTGAGATGTTTAAACATGATCTCTATGTACCTAGTGAGAGCTGAGCTCATTTTTCTACATTTTTAAAAGAATCCTTTGAATGAGATGAGAAGCAGAGAGAGAACTCGAAGACATGTTGATACTCTTGAAGAGCCTAGAATACTTTTGATAAGAACAGGATAGATAGCCTGTATGATATACCCTAAGACTATCCATTCAGACTCCCTAAATTCCCAGTGCACTTTCAGTCTGTCTGTCTCGAGGTTTGATGTTGCTGCTGATCACCACAGTATCTGAGGGGCAAATTTTCAAAAGTGTCTAAGTGACTTAGGGAGTTCAAGACCCATTTGTATAATTGATCTTAGGTATTTAGGATTCCCGGCATGTAAGAATTTCTGAAGATTTGACCCCAAGTGCCTTCCATATAAAATCAATTTGGCAGTAGTGAAGTGTCTAGTGGACTTCTGGCTGTTCTCCCTTTTCATCTTATGGAAAGTTCTGCTTGGAGTGGAGTTTTATTCTTAGGACGTTGGAAAGGGATTGTTGAGGCTGTGAATGTTCTGGTGATGGCGGCAAAGCTCTGGGTACTGTATTATTGGTTGAGGTATTGATTTTTCTTTTTGCTGTCCTAAACCGGTGTGTGGTGTTGCTGTGAACTGCTGAACAGCTGCCATGATCCAGCAAAGATACTGCTGTACTTGAGTGGTGGTTGGGGTGATCCCTATGTACATTGAAATGATAAAGCGCTTGGGGAGAAAAGGTATTCTAAAAATGTAAGGTTATTTTTAATTAATATTGGGCAAAATCCTGATCAGTAGGAGTTAGGGCCATGGTCCTTGGGATCTGACTCAAAATAAAGTGAGCCCTTTCCCAGTCACTCACTCACTCACTCAACTGCAGTGGTGCAGGATTTTGCAAACTTTCATTCCACTGCCTGAGGACAGAATTCAAACAGAGATGCTGATGGAAGTGTCTGGTTTAAATTGCCCTTGGTTGTTTATCATGTAATATGATGTGATTTCCGTACTTACGCAGGATTGTAATTGCCTTCTCTTTAGGCTAAAAACAGAATACAATGACTGAACTAATTACATGCAGGTTGTTGAACTGGTGCTAGGTCTATCGTTTGTACTCTGAATCCCAGTTTAGTTGTCTAACCATGGGACTCTCACACATCCTCACCACAGTTCAATACAGAAAGGGCATCCCGATCATTAAAGTTATTTTTATTTGACTGTGGTGCCTTCTGTTAAACTTTCCTTGTAACCAAACTGTCTCACTTAGTTCTCGCCTAGTTGGCAGTTATCGCTGTGAATTCCATCACAGTGTTGGGACTGCAGCTTTCTCCTCTGTATATCTTGATACTTCTAGAATTGGGGGCAGCCCATAAACAGTGAACCAATTGGACATGGGAATCCTAAAGAGAAAAAGGGGAAATAAAGATGAGAAGAGCTGTCAGATTTACAGCGAGACTGCAGTGCAGCAGAGAAGCAGTTTCAATTAATCCACAATGGCGTCTCTTAATTGTGCCTTTAATAGGACTTGAAGGATATCAAAACATTCAGGTTTGAGACAGCTTAGTCTAATTCTATCTTGTCGTATTGCAGGAGACTTGTCTGTGTTGATGAAAAAGCTCGTTACGTTACTTTAGTTTCTGAGCTGCTGCTGAGCGTGGAATTTGAGCCACCCAGAACAGGGAGCTTGTTTAAGTGCCAGGGAATGTTTGTTTCGTGCATCTACCGAAAGCAAACTTGCAAGATTAGTGGTTTGTTGGTTTTGGTTTTCTTTTTTTAAAAAAAACAATCCTAAAGCCTTTTGATTTCTCTATTTCAGCCTTTGGCGTCCTGCTATGGGAAATCGCAACATACGGCATGTCCCCTTACCCTGGAATTGACCTGTCTCAGGTGTATGAGCTGTTGGAGAAAGACTACCGCATGGAGCGGCCTGAAGGTTGCCCTGAGAAAGTCTATGAGCTCATGAGAGCATGTGAGTCTTCTAAAAGCATATAGAGACAAATGTCAAAGCTAATTAAGCTCTGCAAAGATGTAGTAGCACTATACAAGGGTATGGTTAAAACACTATGGCACAAGGAGCCTTCGTTAGTTTTCCATTAAAGTTGCAGCACTTAGTTACAATCTTAAACTGCGCTGTCCCAGGAAGATGTAAATGTTCCGGAGTTACCCATGCTTGGCTTGGGGGCATTTCTTCTCGACTAGGAGTGGGAATTGTCCAGGTCTTGGGGAAGGTGTTGTTTAACTCAAGTTTCTTTGTCTCCTCTTTCCTGGGAATCTAAATAAAGGATTGTGCATCCACGTTTGTCTAGGATGGGGAAGGGAGCCTTGTTAATTGTCTTGGGAACGACTTTTCTTAGTCCCTTGGCCATTAGTATGTCATTTATGGTTGGTTTTTTTTGGAGGCATTGAGTAGGCCTAGCTCCCACTGGTGTCAGTGGGAGCTGAGGGTGCCCAGTATCCTAAAAATCAGGTTGCTAACATCTAAATCTCAGCTTCCCTGTCTGTAAAAGGGGGCTGATGATATTGAACTTGTTTCACAGTGATAGTGTGAGGCTTAATGAATATTTTTAAGGCTTGTTAGAAGTCCTGAGTAGTAGTATTCTTTCAGGCTGGCAGTGGAGCCCTTCTGATAGGCCCTCGTTTGCTGAAATCCACCAAGCATTTGAAACGATGTTTCAAGAATCCAGCATATCAGACGGTAAGTCCACTTGCACCATTCATCACGCTGTTCCTAGGAATGGGGGCGATGGCATAAGTGCACTGTAACTTCGTTTATTGCTTTATCCGAACATCCCCACAAAGTTGCTTTGCAGTGAAGCTTTGTTTGTAAGTTGTACCTCCCAGTGTAAAAAACATGGAGCAGGCAGATGCTTGTATTATTTTGTTACCAATGGGCCTTCCCTCTGGCTGAGCCCCCTTCCCCTGGGTGCTGTCAGCTTGTCTTTTTTCCCCTGTTATCCGTTGATAGCTTAGTATTTTTACCTTTGATCTCTACCCCACTGCCACCCCCCGCTTTCCTTGTGATCATTCTTTTCCTTGCCTTCCAGAGGTGGAGAAAGAGTTGGGGAAAAAAGGCATGAGAAGCGTCGTGAGTAACTTCCTGCAGGCTCCAGAACTACCGACCAAAACGAGATCGTCCAGGAGAGCTGCTGAAAGCAAAGATGCCAGTGAGAACATGGAGTTGGCACATCCTAAAGGACAAGGGGAATGTGGTATGTTCTAGCTACAGCCATTATTCCCCTCCTGTGAGACAGATTGAAATAAACTGGAGGCCCAAATCCAGAGAGAACATGGGAAAAGTGCATAATGATAGGTACCTGCTCTCTGGATGTGTCCTCTGTCATTAGACACTTCTCTTCCTAGGTTCGCTATGGGTTTGGGACTCTATTCCTGTAGCTCCTGGCACTTCTTGTAGATGGCTAGCACTCAGTATTACTCTTGGGGATTCTGAGCTGCAGCAGCCGTGCAGCCCAGGAAGGGGGGGGATATCTCCTCTGTGTTATCTCTCTACCTCCTGAATTCCTAGTTGGTTCAGGGAGTGGTGCAGCCCCTACTGAAAGTGAGAGCAGCCCCGAGGGCTGTTTTTAGCTTACAGCTGCTGCCCATGGCACCCAGTGGAGCAGTGCCAGAGCACAGAATACTCTGAGCACACCGTCTCCCTCACCCCGATAGATCCATGTGCCAGGAGTTACCAAAGGGATAGGGTAGGACTGAAACTGCCCCAGTGCTGGGGGAATTCCCAGCAGAGAGGAAGCTGCCTGGCTGCCAGCCCCTTTACATCACCAGAGTGGTCTAAAGAGGCTGGCTCACTGCTCAGGTTCAGAGCTCTGGTATATGCGGTACAGACTCCACCCCTACATCATACCAAGTGTCTGTTTTGAAACACTGAAGAGGATTACTTTTGGCAGATATCAAATATAGTTTCAGCAAGGGACGCTGAGGTATTTACAAAATCTACCATGAAATTAAACAACCTTTCAATCAGTTTTTCAAAGCGTGTAGTTTCCATTTTGAGGCAGTTGAAACAATGAGAAAACATGGAGCATAGGCAGTTAATTTGTACCCAGAGCATTTTAAAATGCAAAGTTTCAAAAAGAAAGAACTCAATAAAAATTTGATCTCTTGGTTCTTGCCAACTCCTGTTAAATATGCCTGCTCAGTTGTCCCATCGGGAGTAAGCAGGATGTTCTGTGGGCTTGGGATCTCGGAGATCTTTACTACACCTCTACGAGAAGTGGCACACGTGTGCATATGCAGACGTGCATGAGAGAGAGAGAAGGTCACCACTGAAACTCCTCTTTGGGGTGGCTTTTTATTTAATACAGACACTGGATGGTTCTTCTGGAGAAGGTGTGTCTTGGTGCCATATCTGAGCCTGGAAGCTGTTTACTGTGCATCAGCTTCACAATAGGTGCCTATAGAAGGTCCTTTGTCCCTTCCTATTTCCAGTTGCTTACAGGTGTCCAAGACCTGTGAGCATCACTTCCCATCAGTAGCAAGCACTCCAGTGAGAAATTTTGAGTTTAGGTCTTGATCACTGAGATGTTGGTCCCTGGGAAGGGATGTTAGGGACCTGAGTCATTGTTTTCTTGAAAAATCAGTGTTGAGAAGAAACATCTTTCATGTTCGTTCCTAAATGATCAGAGAGGCTCACGTACCCATATCTGCTCTCAGAAATGGGTGTCCCCTTCCAAATTTTTTAAAAAGCCCTTTTTGCTTATGCCCCTCCAGATTTGTTCAGGTGCATGTGAATGGTTTAGATACACAACGTCCAAAAAAGTGTAATTTTGCAATCCTGAAATTACCCTTTTTTTCAAGAATTCCTCTCAACCCGGATCCAAATCCCAGAATATTTTCCAGTATATGACTATGTAGCATCCTCTTTTCCCTATTTAACCCTGCTCCATCTCCCCCTCTTGCTGCCTACTCAAGCTGTAAATGTATACAATACCCTGAAGACATCTCTTCTGAATTGGGGTGCTGTCTGAGCACTCCTATTCTAATGCCTGACCTGTGAACGAGAGACCCTGTTGTTCAAATATTGGGACCTTCAGGACTCCTGACAAATGTATTATAAGCCGCTATTCATTTTTGAAGTATTTCTCATGTAAGTGGGGAAAGGGTCACCCCACTCTCCTTCCAGAGCAGTTCCACTGGAGCAGGTTGTTATCTCTGGGTTCCTCCATTGTGCAAGGCTGCCTGTCTTCACAATGACATGGTTAGGGGTATTCAGCTGCTGGAATGACCTTGATTTCTGCTTGTGCCATACACTCCACCAGAGGATGCTATCAGATGGGGATTATGGACACCTTAGAGTAACCAAACTGGGAGATGAGTGTGTGGGTACAGACAAACCTTTGAAAAATGAACCTTCAGTTACATGGGAGAAAACAACAAAGGGACCAAAAGAAAAGCTGACCTTAGTGTTCACTTACCTCTACAAGGCAGCAGGGCTAGAGAAAACTCTAGATGTGATGTCAGGAACTCTGGGATAACGAGGGTTAATTTGTGTTTGTCTGAATTTCAAATGTAAATTCCTGTCTGACTTACTTAGTCAGAGGCCTGCTTGAGAAAACAGAGGGTGAGGTATTCTGGCAGGGCATCCTATAAACACTCCCCTACCCCCAAGAATTAATGTGTCCAAAGATTCTGGACCAAATCCAACCTTGGCTTCGGTGGAGCAGCGCCTGCTTGCACCACGTCTGAACTCGGCCCTGTTTACAGAGCCTGCACCTGTTAGGAGGTGCTGCAAAGCGACCCCGAAGGAAAGCAGACTGGTATTTCTTTAAGCAAAGCTCAGTAGAATCTTTTGTTCCTTGCAGACCCTCTGGAGCATGAACCTGCTGTTTCTCCCTTGCTCCCGCGGAAGGAAAGAGTTGCCCTGGAGAGCAGTTTAAATGAAGATGAGCGGTTGCTTCCAAAAGACAAAAAGACCAACCTCTTCAGTGCCCTTATCAAGAAGAAGAAGAAGACTGCCCCTGCCCCTCCGAAACGCAGCAGCTCCTTCCGGGAGATGGACGGCCACTCGGACCGCAAGGGTGGGGGGGAGGAGGAAAGCAGGGATGCCAGCAATGGGGCTTTCATCATGCCCCCTGCAGATGCCATCGATGCCTCAAAGTGCCAGGGCCCGAGCAATGGGGCTGGAGTCACTAATGGAGCTGTCACTGGGAACTCGGGCTTTTTATCCCCCCACCTATGGAAAAAAACCAGCGCCATGACGAGCAGCCGGCTGACAACCGGTGAAGAAGAGTGTAGTTCTAATGCCAGCAAGCGCTTCCTGAGGTCCTGCTCAGCATCGTGCGTACCCCATGGAGCCAAGGACACGGAGTGGAGATCCGTGACGCTGCCCAGGGATTTGCAGTCCACAGGGCGGCAGTTTGATTCCTCCACCTTCGGCGGGCACAAGAGCGAAAAGCCAGCCCTGCCTCGGAAGCGGGCGAATGAGAACAAGACGGATCTTGCCGTCAGGGGGACGGTGACGCCCCCTCCCCGGCTGCTGAAGAAAAACGAAGAGACAACTGACGATGTATTCAAAGACACAGAGTCCAGCCCTGGCTCCAGCCCACCCTCTCTGACACCAAAACTTGTACGCAGGCAACCTATAATCACTCCTTCCTCCAGCCTGTCCCACAAGGATGATGGCATCAAACCCAGTGCCTTAGGTACCATTGGGATGGCAGACCAAGGTCCTACTGTCAAACCCAACTCTGCTGGGGTTGTGGTTGCCAGCAAGGCTTCCACGGAGGAGCCAAGGATGAGGCGGCTCAAGCAGACTTCCGAGTCGTCAGGAAAGGACAAGGTGAAGTTATCAAAGCTTAAACCGGCCCCTCCGCCTCCACTCTCCTCAGCTTCCATTGGGAAGCCTGGAAAATCATCCCACAGCCCCAGCCAGGAAGCAGCAGATGCAGGGTCTGGTACTAAATCTAAACAGTTGACTCAGGTTGCAGACACTATAAGCAGTGATGCCGCCAAGCCAAACCAGTTAGGGGAGGGTGTAAAAAAGCCTGGGCTCCCCTCTGTACCAAAGCCACAGTCCTCCACAAAGCTGCTGCTGACCACAGCAGCCCCAGCCCCCTCTTCCTCATCTGCCTCATCTGCCCCGAGCGGAGACCAACCATCATCAACAGCCTTCATCCCTCTCATATCCACCAGAGTCTCCTTGCGCAAAACCCGCCAGCCTCCAGAGAGGATAGCCAGTGGCACCATCACCAAGGGAGTGGTATTGGAAAGCACCGAGGCCCTGCGCATTGCCATCAACAAGAACTCCGAACAAATGGCGAGCCACAGCGCCGTCTTGGAGGCCGGCAAAAACCTCTACACGTTCTGCGTGAGCTACGTGGACTCCATCCAGCAGATGAGGAACAAATTTGCCTTCCGTGAGGCCATCAACAAGCTGGAGAACAACCTTCGGGAGCTCCAGATCTGTCCAGCCACCGCCAGCAGCGGCCCTGCAGCCACGCAGGACTTTAGCAAACTTCTCAGCTCGGTGAAGGAAATCAGCGATATTGTTCAGAGGTAGCAGAAGCCAGGTAACACCCTTTTTTTTCCTTTTTTTTCCTTTTTTTTTTTAAATAACGGGCCAAAGCCAACTGCAGAGAGAACTACAGCATAAGCGCCATGGTAGACTGACAAAGGACCCAAGGGCCTTCAGTACAGGGATGTGCAAAAGGCACAGACTGTGGAACAGCCCTACTGCCTAAAGTAGGGTGTTCATCAAGATGCACTTTCCTCCCTTTCACCGAGGTGCCCTGTCTCTCTCATACTCCAAATCCTCTGGTCTGTGGAGTTCTTGCCTTGTGGACTACAGGTCTAAATGCTGAGGTCACACCAGGCCTTTTTATAATATTTTATTGTTTTGGACAGAGCTTTAAGATGGAACCCGGACTGATGGACACGGATACTCTGCCCTCCTCCTGGAGGATTTCCTACTGCAATTTGATTCCCTCCCCCTGCCCCTGGTGTACATGAGGATGAGTGTTTGAATAGCAATATACACCCTGCTTTCCTGGGGTCTCAGTGTCCCCTCCCCCGCAGACACATACATGACACTAACACCACACATTTGGAGGTGGCGGGGGAGTTAATAATGAAACAGACCGCTACGAAATACGTTTACGAAAATCCTCCCGGTGGTTCTGTCAGTGACCCGTAACTGCTGGTCAAGGAATCCATGTTTCCTCATGTCCGAGAGCCCCTGACGAATGGGTTCGGAATGGCGCGGATGGTCCCTGTGAATGCAGCGGTACAGGAGTCCAGTTGTGGATCTCTTCTGGTAACGATAAAGGAGTGATGTTCTAGAGGAAGAGCACAGCCGTGCTTTGGAGATACACAACACTAGCCAGGCTCAAGCTTGGGGGAGCGGCAGATCCTTTGTGAGAGCAATGAGCCGACTGCATCAGTGAATGAGGGAGAGAAGGGTGGCAACAAGGGGAGGTGGATTAGGATGAGTTTAAAGATACCACTGTGCCTCCAGTAGTGGTTTTAGTTGAGTTTGTGCATCCCAAATGTGCATCAGCAGAGCTGTTGTCTAGTTCAATTTCCAGCCACGTCAATTACATGGGAGTAATGAGCTCAGATAAGGGCTATATCAGACCTGGACGGGGCTCACTCATACAGTCTCTGTTGGAAGAGGAAAGCAGCTCGGCGAGCTCTTCCTTTCAGTGTCCGTACAAAATACCACGGACGAGTTTAAAATCTATACCTAGGGGTTTGAAGTAGTTTAATTCCAGTGGAAACATTGATCACCCTAATGATTAGGTGGTTCTGTCCAGGATTAAGCAGGGATCGGAGAAGCCAGCGGACACCTTTTGGCCTGGGTGCACCTCTCAAGGGAGCAATCTAAGGATGCCACAAACTTCTGAAACCATGACTCCTGGGCAGCCTTTCCCAGTTCACTTTGACCTTCCCAATTAATCCAATGGATTTGGGGACTAACTGTGACTCATTGTGTTATTGAAAGGACGAGACTTTAAGACAATTAACAGTGCAATTTAACTCCTTTCAACTCTAGACAAGAGAAGAAAGTGATCTCCCCACCCCTTTCCCCCAGTATCTCCTGTGAAACCCCACCATGTGTATCTTAAACACTAATTGCTTTGGATATTTTATTTTTCCTCTTACGAACTGTTTGTTTTGTAGATGATTTGATTGTTCTTTTCTATGCTCACACCATTCTCACCCCCACAGATCACCTTGGCTTAACTCGTGACCATAAAATTAAAAAAAAAAAAACACCATAGGCTGCCTTTACAAAATACAAACATACCTGCAACAAAAAACCCACAAGCAAAAAACAAAAACAAAAAACCACCCCACCAAAAACCCCCACCCCTTGGACTATCTCTTTTCTGAGGTACTGTTTTAACTTTGTTGATAACATATTGTGCCACTATATTATACATTTGTATCTCAGTATTACACACTTTTGTAGACTTATCTTTTTTACAATGTGTAAATAGCTCTGTCCTTCGTTTCTGTAATACCAAAGGGGCTGTTTCCCCTTTGTTTTGGTCCAATACAGATTGTTTCTGTACGTGGCGCTCTCCCTGATTTTTATTTTTTTGGGTTTATTTTTTATTCTGCGCTCTCTTGCATAGTATATTTAAAAATAAATCTGTGTCAAAGAAAACCAGGAGTGCATTGGTCTACTGACAAGGCTGCTTCAGCTTAGATGACCTCTGTCTGGTGTATGGTGCAAGCATTTCACAAAGGCCTTTCTGCTCACCATGCTGATCAGAACCAGAGGGCAGCGAGTTACCAAAGTCTTTAGAACTAGTTCTGAAAATCATACAGGGGGAAAAAAGATACAGAATAAAGATCTGAATGTGGTCCCTTTTTGAAGTCAGGGTTTTGCCACTGACTTCAGTGAGAGCAGGACTTGACCCTAGACTTTTCTTCTTCTGCCGTGTGTTTTGCATTCAAGACCTAGTCTCTGTTCTCTCTTCCCCTTTGATGTGGAGTGGCCAGTGTCTCCATTCTTCTAAAACAATTTCTGGCTACTCCATAGTTGGTTCCAATGTATGTGCTCATTGTGAGGCCTGAACCCAACATTGGAAACAAGGATCTTCTGCCTCCTAATCCCAGTTTTAACACAGACTCACTGTGATACCTTGTTGTCTGTGCCAGTTTTTCTCTCTGAAACTTGGGGATGATACTGCTCCAGAGAGAGCAGCTGCCAGGATTCTCCCTCCTGGCTCTCAGATTCTTAGCGTGAGATTGGCAGAAATTCCCAAGCTCCTAAAGAAGGGCATGGAGTGAGGGACGAGCTAAGACCTCTGTTGACCATCGTGTGCTGCCCCCTGAGCTTAACCACTGCTGATGGTACAGTCCAGAGGATTCCTTCTAGACCAGTCAGCAAATCTCAGCTTTGTCATATCCTTATACCCATTCTACTAGGCGGCATGGAGACACAGAGATAGTCCCTGCCCCAGCTAGCTTATACTCTAGACAGACCAGATCAAGGGTGAGAAGGCAAACAAAGGCAAAGAGAGGTGAAGTGACTTGCCCAAACTCACATAACAGGTCAGTAACAGAGCTCAGTAAAGGACCAGAATCCTGACCACCCGAGAGATCTAGCTTGCATGATAAAGGGAGTGGAAACCTTTATATGGAGCATAGGGGTTCATCAGAACGTTTGGCCAGCTACAGTCGCTGATACGCAGGTGAGATTGGACCATTACGTTCTTTAATGAGCAGAAAGTTGTTTTAAAACAAATAATAAAAACAGGGATGTGCAATAGGTAAGAATAAATGTTATTAGTGAAAAAATTGGTGTCACTCTTAGCAAGTCCTGGATGAATTCTTTACTAGACTGATGTCGTCCAACAAAAAATGCACACACAAGTACAGGAAGTTCACAATTACTTTATGACAATGGCTCTTGGAGAGGGCAACACCTAGAATGGTTTAGATTTACATCTCTGACCTAACGCCATGGATACAGTTAATAGCAGCCCGCTGTGGGTCGATGCTGCGCTGGCTTTGGATGGGGGTAGGAAGGGTTGTAGAGCAGGAAAGAGGTGATGGGACTTCATGCCAAATGAAATCATTCCTGAAACTCCTTATCTGCCCTAATGTGGACCATAATCCTTGGGAGAGAGGAGGTCAGTTGGCTGGGTGGGGAAAGCACCAGGAAATACGGGATTGGAAGAGGGAAAAGGAGGTAAAACACTCAGGCCTGGTCTGCACTAGAAAATGGGGTCAGCCTCACTACATCACTTTGGTGTGAAAAATCCACACCCCTGAGCAGTGTCTAGGTCGATGGAAGAATCCTGTTGTCCAAGTTACTGCCTCTTGGGGAGGTGGTTTACCTACGCTGTCGGCGTAGGGACACTGAAGCGCTACAGCTGCGCCACAGTGCTGCCATAGCATTTTAAGTGTAGACAAGCCCTACATTTAGCCAGATACAGTGGGAATTGATTTAACTGATTGATGCATTTAACAGGTTGATTGCTCCAATTTTCAAGGTTATTGAACCTGAAAGTGTGAGAGTGCTCTGGGGAGAAAATACGTTTGTTTTGTTTGAAATGGTAATGCTCCCTGTCAGGTTTTCCTCAAATGCATCTTGCCATTTTAGGGGCAGCTTTGCTGAGGAAATCACTCGTCGCAAGATCCAAAACATGGTCAATGTTCATTTACAAAAAATAAATAGAAGTCCCTCTACCCGCACAAAGCCTCCTAACCTGCAGAGATGCTGCTAGACAAGCACCTCTCCCAATGGGGGAAAATGTTGCCAGCTACAGGGAAATCTTGCTGCCAATGCTTCTCTGGCAGTATCCCACGTTGTTTGGCGTGAATTCTCTGCTGATCAGAAACTCCCGAGCCTCTATTACCACCTTTCCAGCAGGGGTTCTAGCCGTGGGGAAAGCTTTTCTGAGAACGGGCTACCCCAGCTAGTGCGCCGCTTAGGACGGATTTTAATAACACAGTTCTCAGATAACAGTGCAGAGAGACAACGTTTATACCTGCCGCTGTATCTTCCACTCCATGCATCTGATGAAGTGGGTTCTAGACCACCAAAGCTTACGCCCAAATAAATGTGTTAGTCTTGAAGGTGCCACAAGGACTCCTCGTTGTTTCTGCTGATACAGACTCACACGGCTACCGCTCTGAAAGTTATAACACAGTAGCTCTGCCCTTCCCCCACAACACGACTGAAACGCTGTTGGGGCTTGCTATGCGGATGGACCCATCTGGGATCCCAAACTCTGCCACCTCCTTGGACTTTGCAGGGCTTCAGCTCTGCTCAAACATGGTTGGTTAGCTCCAGCTTACCCTGCAAGAACAAACCCAGAGCGGGGGGCTGTGACCGGGTCTCCCAGCAGTGTAAAAGGGACTTGGTGCAGGAAGTCTGTGGGTTAGCAGTGTGTGTAAACCATCGTTGACAAGGTCTGATGTGTGGCTATTTGCAGAAGAGGCCAAGAAAGTGAATGATCAAGAAGGGGAGCAGGGTCTGAGATGAATTTGAAAGGCCCCAGGCCCGGTTAGCCAGGGTGCCCCGGCTCTAACAGAAAGGCTGGGCCGCACTCTTCCCCTTGAAAAGTCTTCCCGCGGCGTGAGGTCAGCCAGTCCCCGTTCAGAGCAAGCTCCTGACGCTTGAAAAGGCTCTGGCAAAGCTGTAAACTAGCCTCTGCCTTGCATTGTCGATCGTTTTTATGGGTAAGGGATTTCTTTAAAGAAAAGGGCCCTTCCCTGGCACTTGGCACTGGTGCTCTCGCTGCCACCAAAGGCACGCTGGCCTTGGCCTAATGGTCAAAGGCGCTGGGTGCTTCTGAACAACACCACCAGCTGTGCCCCTGTGCTCTAGCGCCATCTGGTGGTCTCTACTTGGAGCAAAGCCCTCCATTCCCATCAGTAGTAAGGAGCTGCCATAAGGAAGTGGGGGAACTGGTGTCCCCAGAGTGAGTAGGACTGGGAAGAAAACCTGAAGTTAAGTGACCCTTTAGGATGAGGGGCAGTGGAGGTGGGCCTTTCCACTGTCCTGGGAATTGGCCGCGGGGAGAGGAATAAAATGTTCCAAGCAAATACAAAACCGTGCTTCAAGGAGTTATTTTCCATTCCACTGGCCCCCGCCCCCACCACACACTTCCCCCCAGCTGGCCCCTCCATCACTATGTAGTGAAAACTAACCTGAAGCAAGAGTGACCTGCCCGGAGCATCCCTTTGAACCCAAGCCAGCGAAACACTTGCCTATCTCCCCTCCAAGGAAGCACTGCTTAACCAGCAGATCCTGGCCAGCATGTGGCCCATCGCAGCCATGCAGGTGTCTCTTTCCTTCCTGCTGAAGATGACAATGCAGCTGTTGCCCCTGCAGGATGAAGCTGCCTGAAACCAAGCTCGGACACACCTAGGTCTGCTCCACTCACCAGGTCAGCAAAATGAAAGTCTCTGGCTTGTCAGAAGTTGCCCTAATGGCAGGTAGTTTTGTCCCTTTATAATAATCTTGTTGTACAAACATATGCATACAGTCCCCTGTTCAAGCCACTAGACCCTGCTTCCCTCCCAGAGCTGGGAAGAGAACCCCCGGAGTCCTGGCTTCCAGCCCCTGCTCTAATCACTCGACTTCACTTCCTCTCCTAGAGCGGGCAAAACTGCTCTTCCCTGCCGAGTGTCACCGCTGCAGAGTGATGGGTTTTCACTGCCAAAACGCAAGGTTCTAAGGGTGGAATATTTAATGCTACCGACTCTCGCTGTGTCGTGTGTAAAAACGCAGCTGTCCCCCGGCAGCTCTGCATAAAATTGACGAGTGGATATTTATTGAGGATTTGAACATTCACAAAGGAAAAAGAGAGTGGGGTTGCCATAGTAACATCAATAACCGCTCCCCAGCTCTGCTGTTCAATCAGACTGGTGCATGCGTGTTCTCTGAACTCGGGGCCTGTCGTGGGATAGGATTAGAGAAGGACCAAAAGTGCGTTTCTAAATGTATCTGACGCCTTTCCCCCGGTTGAGTCCATTTTGGCTTGGACACGCTGAATGCTGCTTGCAGTGAGAGTTCAGTTACAGCGCTGGAAGGTGAGGAAAGGAAAAACGCCCTGCCTCGCCTCGCCCCCAAATAGCAGCCGCCGTCCAAGTTAATCCTGAGGGTGACCTGGGTGTGGGTAATGTGCATATTGTACTGGGCGAGGGGGGGGTTCTGCCCTCACATCACTGCAAATCCAGTTTTACATCAGTGTGATTGAAATCGGAATCGGGTCCACTTGTCTAGCCAGAGCAACCTGCACTAAGCCACCTCCCGTAGCCATCCCCAGGCCTCGGGTAACCCACTGGAAGTATTCTCCCGCCGTTTCTCCACTAGGAGAGCAATTTGTGCTGGCCTCTGAGGGAGGCGCTGCTTTTGAGAGGGCTGCCTGCATGATGTGCGTTACAATGCCCCTTTTGGAGCCTGGCTTTTCAGCCAAGTCTCAACGTGCTCTCTGCTTTTGCGGGGGCAGCTCAGCACCTGCAAATAATTGCCGCTACTTTTTGTGTGCCTGCGGTGAAATATTAGTAGCCATTAGCCCCTTAGCAGCTGCAAGCCAGGTAATCAGACCTCTAATTATTCATATTTGTGCCTGCCGTTGGTGGAGGGCACAGAAAAGCTTGCACAGTAGGTTGCAGTTACAAAACACTGTCTGCAAAAACAAGAGGCGAGCACTGAGAATCAGGCTCACTCTGCAGGGCCTTTGCCGACACGGTATTTTTTTGCTAAGCCCTCCCAATGGTGAAGCTTCACTAGTGGTAGAGTTGGCGGCTGTGCTAGTGTGCACCAGCCACTGGCATCTCCACCACAGTGTCCCGGGGGTAGATGACGCTGTGCTTCAATGTTTAACAGCCAGTAAACTGCATTGGGGGCTCCCCGCACTTTGCCAGCACTGGGAGCGTTTAACCACATGTAGGCAAGGCCCAAAGGGTTAAAGCGGGAACAATTCAGCAGCAAGGCAAAGATCTGGGTTTGCTCTGCAACGCGATTGTCTGTCAGCTGGTCCCACATCGGTATGCTGGCGGGTCTGGGAGACAGCAATGCTCCGGGATCCAGCCGCTGCAGGGCGGGAGCAGTTCTGGCCCCTATCCGATGCCTGGCCCGGCATACTCGCTCGGTGGGATTTTGAAGGCTGACCGTTTATTGGGCCATTTTGCCTGGTCCTGGTTTGCACGCAGGAGCAATCCTGTTGTAAATGGCATCTTGGCACTGAACAGAATTTGCTGCCGGAGGGAGTTTGTGTTCATGAGAGGGAGAGAGAGAGCAGGAACTTTTAGAATTGTATCCAGTGCCCGGTGGGACCTATTCCTCATTCACAGCCATATTCCAGATGCCAGCTCCAGGCAGTCCCTATGGAGACTGTCAACACTTTGATTATCCCCCTATAATCATTCAGTCTCTCTACTTTAACTTACAAGCATGGCAGCGCCGGGTCTGCCGATTCTTATTCATAGCAGCGCGCTCCTCTCAATGCACTGACAGCGGCGACGGCTCAGAACAATCGGGGACAGCGTGAACGCAGCTCGGCCCACGGTCGCTTTTAGTGAGCTCCAGCAAAGGCAGCACAACGTGCGGGGGTTTTAAGGCCATCTTTTATAAACACCCGCCCTCCTTTTCTCCCCCTCCCCACCCCCAAGTCCCCGATCAGGGGCCTGGCCTAGCAGGGACATGGACAGTGAGGTGGGGATGTGAAATCTGGGACAGAGTTGAAAGTGATGGAGAGAGCGTGGTACCAAAAAATAGCAACCTCCCCCAGCCCTCTTCTCCAAGGGAAACTAGCTGGCAGGGTAGAAAAGGATGGGACCTGGAGCACTTCTTTGGCTGGAGATGGCAGGAGTTGGGAAGGGCAGAGTAAAGGGTAAGATCCCCCCCGGGGGTGACTCAGTCAAGTCCAGTCCTTCATCTTCTGCCAAAGCGGAAGCTGAATCCCCCTTTCTTCCTGTTGTAGCCATTGAGCTCCTCTGCCAGGTTCCCCAGGGTGCCGCTGCGCTTCTCGCCGTCCCCCCGCAGGAAACCGACCCCTTCGCCTTCCTCTTCCCGGCTCTCCTGCCTCCCGAACCTGAACCTGAAGCCTGCCCTCTCCTTGCCAAAGCCCTGGAGCTCCTTGGCCACGCTGAACAGGGAGCTGAGGTCTTCAAATCTCCGCTGCCTCAGGCCGCTCGGGGAGGTGTCGTCTGCCGTTTCCTGCCAGCTTGTCTCAAACCGGACCCCGTCCCCTGGCTCTCCCGTCTCCTTTCTGGCGTCGGGAGGGACGCAGGCTCCCAAGCTGAAGAGGAGGAGGCAGGACAAGGAGTAAGGAGCCTTCATCTGGGTGGTGGGAATGGAAAAGAACAACGGAGGCATGTGCCGGTAAGTGAACCTCTCCCCAGATATCAGCACCTCCTCTGAAAGCAGCCACAGCTTAATGAGGCCCCCAGTGCAGAAGAACTCCCCAGCCCCAGCCAGCCACTCCCTGCGCAGGGTGGGAGAGAAGTAGCACCCGAGAGTCCAGCAGGGGACTGGTCTGTCTGAGCCGAGACGCCTTCCTGTCTAATGTGGCACCTGGCAGAGCAGGATCTGGCACAATGGTCCCTAGGGGCCTATTTGAAATCTTCCCCAGCATCCAATGGCTCGTGCTGGAAGTTCCTCGCCGAGCCCCGCTTCCAAGAGCCACTCAATGGGGTCTGGGGTCGGATGTGTGAGGGGCGTCTCTTTAACGAGCTGACTGGCCTGGTGCCCTTCTCTGCTACACTCGCATTCTCTCTAGGGGCTTTGGCCTCTCTGGGTATTGACTACGCGGCAGCCGAGAGCGAGGGAGATAGAGCACAGCCCGAGCGGCCGTGTCCACGCGCAAGCCCTGCTAGGGCGGGTCTGTGTTCCGAGGAGACTCTCACCCAGCTGCAGTGTAGCCGTCCCCTGGGTACTATGAATTCAAATCCTGCTGCACTCGCCTTGTTTGCAGCGTGGGAAGAGCACAGCTCGGCCTGGGCGAGGGTTGACTGAACGAAGGCCATTACCCTTTCACTGGAATGAAGGGATTGCAAGCTGTATGCTCCTCCCAGGGGCACTGCAAGGAAAGCTGAAGTGCACACACCTGAGCAAGCCTCCGCTTTCTACTAGCACCTGCTAATGGCATTCAGTAAAGATGCTCGATGTCCCTTTTGATGAGGCTCCGAAGCCCCCTGCTGACATGGAGGCAGCATGTTCTAGTGATCAAAGCAGGGAACTGTGCCGTACGTACTGGAGAGAGTCAGGAGACTGAGATGGCATTCTTACATCTACCACTATGTGACTTTGGGCAAGTCACATGATCGCTCTGTGCCTCAGTTTCCCTCTCTGTAAAGGGGAGGGGGAGGGTTGGTCTAAGGGGGAAGATGTCTTCCCAGGAAAGTCTTTCAATTAAAGTCGCTGCACCCGGAGCCAGGTGGGGAAGCTGCGGCTGTCTAGGGCTCTGTCGCATGGGCGGGTGGCGCATCTCCTTTACAGGTGAGCATCCGTGCCACAGAACCCAGGCTCTGCTGGGCCGTGAAGGCTGAACCCCCATGTCTGCCTCTGTGCTGCTTCCCCCAGGATTGTCAGGCAGCAGGGGCAGGGAGGTGAGGAACAGCCGTGGCTGTACAAGCCGCACCGGGGCTGTGGCAAACCCAGCCGGCAGCAAGAGGCCACGCCCACTCCTCGCTGGCTGTTGCAACTTCAGAACGCTTAAAATCAAACCACGACGGACCTGGAATTAACTGCCCAGGAGCTGCTGGGGGGGAGACAGGCGGAGGAGGGCTCCGGGGGCACAATGCTTTCCCGGCTCCTCATTCGCGCCCTGGGCTCTGGCCCTCCGCTACCGTCAGCCACTTGCAAAGGAGCTCACCAGGCTGCCAGGTATTGATGTAAAGGCTGGACTGGCTTGGAAACCTCCCCCCTCCTTCTTAGAGACTCTACAGCCGGCCTAATAGCACCTCGGCCGAGGGCCATGAGGATACGTGGAGCTCTCTGCTCCTTACCCAGCCCAGTGCCATGGACGAGGGCCCATCTGGTCTGGTCCTGGGAGCTTGCAGCTCCCTCACTGACTCCAGCGAGATTGGAGGCTGCTCAGAGCCTACGAGGGGAAGAGCATCTCCTGGAGCAAGTCCTTTCTCCCGGGGCGGATCCCTGCTTACCTTGCTCTTGCTGCTTGGGCGGCCAGTCTATGCGGAGCTGCACTGGAGACCAGGATGAGCCAGGCTGCTGGGCTTTGCCTCCTTTAAATAAGCTGCAGCGTTAATGACCAAGTTCCCCCCCCCCAGCCACACCGGCTCAGCGGGTTTATTGCTGCACATTCCAGAGGCTGGGATCCCATTGGGAAGCTGGGTGGAGATGGAGCGCGGGACTGCTGACTGATTGGGCCTGTCTGGGCAGCCACAATGGGAGCAGTGAGCTGGCTCTGATTAGGGTCCTTAACGCACTCTCTTGATTTGCCACCTCATTTGGAGAAAGCAGCGTTAACTAGCTCTGAGTCACCCTCCGTGACACCAAAGGCAAGGGGCAGCCCTGGCCAGTGGAGTTCCTGCCCTGTGCTCGGGGATCCGAGAGTTACTCCTGGATTGTACCTGCCTGCTTGACGGGTTCTTGTTGCCATCTCTCCGAAGGGGTGAGCAGGCTCCAGGTGTGTGTGAACCGTGCGACGCACCCCTGGGACCTGAAACTACAGCAACGAATGGCAAGAGAGATCCCTTCAACTGCTATCTGGCTGGGACACCCACTGGCCACCCATCTGGAAAAGCCCCTGTGGCTAGTCGGCCCTCGTGTGCCCAGATGGCAAACCAACTCTGCTGGGCCAAGGAAGAGAGGCTTCCAGATCAAGGGACGGTCCATTCCTACGTCATGGCTGGGCTAGAGCATGAGGAGTGAAGCATCTCTCTAAAAGCACGCAGCACCCACACCCTGAAGGGATTCGTGGTTTCAGATCACCGTAAGGTATTGCATCTGGAGAGCCGTCTGGAGCACAGGGTGATGTGTGTCCAGCCACGAGCCGCTGCGAGGCGAGCAAGCCAGCTGTGTTCTGCACCAGTTGACGTTTCCAAGTGTCTGGGCCCGGCTGTGGGCACAGCGGGAGGAGTGGCCTTGCTAAGTGGAGATGGACAAAAGGGCTCACGGTCATTGCTGGTCTCTTACACCCCCTGCTGCTTCGGGGTGTCCAGAAGGCCCCCCTGGATTGCACACTCCTGCAGTGCTGGGACTGAAGGTGCTGGGTGGCATCAGTTGTTGAGACCCTCTGCCTGGCCCCCCAGTCCACCCCTGCTCCATGACCACAAACTTTTCTCATTGACGTTCCTCCCTGGCCAACTTTTCTGGGAATCGTCCCTCGTCCAAGACTTGTCCGAGTCCCTCCCTTCCCCCATCTCCCATCCCCCCCCTCCTAGCCAGTGTCAGATGCAGGAGGCTCAGCTGTAGCACCCACCCCAGCTGGGAAGGGCTGCAGGGGAAGATGCTATTCTGCACTGGCTCCAAAGCTGCGCTGCAGGGGAAGGCCTGGCCCATGGCTGGTGGGCATGATGTGTGCCCGGCCTCTCTGCTAGCCTGGCAAGGCTGCTGTTGAAGGGGCATTGCCCCTCAGTGTGCGACGTCCCCCCCCCAACCTTGTGCCCTTGGCCCACAGCTCGAGGGGGGGTTAGCAGGAGCAGGGAGGTGGCTGCGCTCTTTGGCAGCATGGGGTGTTTCCTGTGTGTGTCACCTGACTCAGCCAAGAAAGCCTGGGCTGGGTTCGTATTTCTGGCATTGATGTTTCCTTCCCCCAAGCCCATGGTGCAGGTTGGGGTTTACCAACCACTACTCGGGCTCCTTGTCTTCTGGCAGCATGGCCTAGTGGAACAAATGTGGGCCTGGGAGCCAGGAACCCCTGAGCTTTGTTCCTACTTCTGCCACCGACTCTCTGAACAGCCTTGGCAGGTCACTTACTCTCTGTGCCTTGGTTTCCCCATCTGTAGAACGGGGATGTTAACACTGACCTGTGTCACGGAGGGGCTGAGAGACCCAGCTCGTTCTTGTGAAGGGCTTGGAAATCCACCCGAATGAAGGTTAAGCATATGAGCCACCTCAAATTTGGAGCCAGATCCTCAGCTACAGTAAATCAGCAAAGCTCCCTTGATGTCTTCAGCGCTATGCTGCTGTACACTGGGAGAGGAGCTGTCCCTTTAAGACCCTACATGTAGAAATGATCTGGGCTTTTATATTTAGAAAAGCAAATATGCTCGTTTAACCTCTGAGGTGAAGCTGCTCCTCTCTCAGAGCGGCTGCCAAGGTGCAGCAGATGGGTTCCCAGCAAGTTCAATGGCGGGAAAGGCTGCCAGGACGGCAGTAATTAGTCCTCGTTTTCTTAAAGTGAAGCCACTTCCTCCTGCCAGTGTGGTAAATGCCGACGGAGGCTGGCGCCGGTGCGGAGACCCGGGTGGCGAGAGCCGGCCTACGGGAAAGGAGCACGCAAGGACCGTGTGGGGCGTTAGCTGGGAGTGCGGCCCTGGGGTAATTCTAAGTTGTTGGCAGCAGAAAGATACCTGGGCCCGGCCCTCTCTGGGATTGGCATGAAAGGGAGACAGGCAGCAGCAGCTCTGCAGAACCATTTCTCTTTAAAGCCAGCAGCGCTCGCTGCCAGGAGCTGCTCCCAGCGCTGATAGCCCCCCGGAAATAACCTAGGCCGGGCAGGGGGCCGCAATTGGAGGTGGATGGAGACCCAGACGCAGGGCATACAGAGTGATGAGTTCCTTTTATTAAGGAGTTTTAGAAAGTCCACATGTACAGCGTTTGACACCAATCACACACGAGCTAGACTTCATTGTACTGCTAAACAACACGACCTGTCCACTAGCTCAGACCTGAACAGACATAGTTGTGACCCCAGCTCCTCCACGGGTACACGGGCTGGCCGTGTGAAGGGCAGGCAAGGGTGCGGCACCTGCCTAGAAACACGTCCGTATCCTCTGGCTGGTGAAGTTAGGCCAGCCCCTACAGTGTGGAAAACCCGTCCAAAGGCCGTGGGCTGGAGAAAGGGGCTGTCAGCTGAAGCAGCCCTGCATGACTCTCTGAGGGGCAGCAGCCAAAGGCAGCAATCCAACAAGCATCGGTTAAAGGGGCTCCCATCTAACCTGAGCCCCTGTTACCGGCCCCTTGGTCAGCGTGCCATGCACTGCTCCAGACCAGCTGGAGGCCTGAGCCTCCGTACGCTGCAGGTCTGGAGGCTGCACAGACCCTTAGGAAGCTCTTGGAGGGGCATTGTATGCATGGCAGTGCCCACCATCTGCCTCCTTCGCCCAGCACCTGGTATCTGGCTGCAATTGTCCTGCCCTTCCCAGACCCCACCC